TTCTCGCGCTGTAGTGAAAACACTGATTCATTTTTTTATTAGTGGTACACAGCATTATGAAAAATTTAGAAAGGATATTTTTCCTATAGTAAAATATGCATTCATTTTTTTATGAGTGGTACACAGCATTACGGAAAATTTAGAAAGGATACACAAAAGTCATAAGTTTGGCAAATACTGTTCTAATGAAGTATTTCATTGACAAAATTGTGGTTACAACTGAAGAGGTTTTACTAATAAGAATATTTATTAATATAAATGAAGAAGTTTTGTATGTAATTTCTAATTAAGTGATTAATTATCAGTGTGTTATTATACCAATAATTTTTTAATTTATTTTCTTCAGTTTCAGAGTAAATAATCATGCGAGAGTTCAAGGTAGTGGTTTTGGGAAGTGNATTGACAAAATTGTGGTTACAGCTGAAGAAGTTTTGTATGTAATTTCTAATTAAGTGATTAATTATCAGTGTGTTATTATTCCAATAATTTTTTAATTTATTTTCTTCAGTTTCAGAGTAAATAATCATGCGAGAGTTCAAGGTAGTGGTTTTGGGAAGTGGAGGTGTTGGAAAAAGTGCACTGACTGTCCAGTTCGTATCTGGAATGTTCATGGAAAAATATGATCCAACTATTGAAGATTTTTATCGAAAAGAGATTGAAGTTGATTCAGCTCCTTGTGTTCTTGAAATTCTTGATACAGCTGGTACAGAACAGTTCGCATCCATGAGAGACCTTTACATTAAAAATGGTCAAGGTTTTGTTGTAGTATACAGTATTACAAGTCATCAAACATTTCAAGATATCAAGAATATGAAAGAACAAATTATGCGTGTCAAAAATACAGAAAGAGTGCCAATCTTGCTTGTCGGCAATAAAGTTGACTTAGAAAATCAACGAGAAGTGACTACAGTCGAAGGCATGGGACTTGCTCAACTATGGGGCTGTCCATTTATGGAAGCTTCTGCACGTAATAAATGTAATGTGAATGAAGTTTTTGCAGAAATAGTTAGAGAAATGAATTATTCCACAGTTAGGGAGAAGCAAAATTATTGCTGTTGTGTAATTCTTTGATGGTAAGTATTACTTATGTCTATCTATTTAGTTACAATAGTATAATCTCTCTCATTTGGGCTAATACCTGTTCTGAATCTCAGAGAAATTCGTCTAGATTATGCTGGTCACTATTCAAATATACCTAAAGGGGAAAATAGTATTTACTTATTTTTGCTGATAAAATTGAAGAAGGAGCAGGGTAATGTTTACACATGACGTTTTAATCTCTCAATTTTTGTGATTTTTTTTTTTAACGGGGAAAAATTGGAAATTTTAATTTATTTGATATCCATGTGGTGAAAAAAAATGTATTCATTTTCTTGCTGTGAAGAAAATTTACATCACTTATTTTATTATCTTTATTGGCCAATTTTAAATTTTGTCATTCTAAGGAAGAAAAATGTGCTACTGGGTATTTAAGTTCTTATTGCACTTGATGTTGTATTATATTTTTATGTGTTAGTCATAATAACATTTAGATTGATGTACTACTATAAGAAACTTGGGATAACCCAAAAAAATTTGCTTATACAGTCGACGCTTTGACCTGTGTTGTCCAAAGGAAAATTTATATAATGATGTAAAATCGCTATATCATGATTACACAAGATTATTACAAATATTAATTCATAAATAAATAAATACTGAATTTATTTCTATGACCGTTTGCCAACAGCCCATTGTGCTGCTCTAGTGTGACAAAAATAAAAAGTATTAAGGTGGGTTTTGCAAGACGAGCCACCTTATTTCCATGTAGGATGAAAAATGTCCATCTTGCATGCTATTTAAACCTGATAAACTCCTAAGTACCAAGCATTTAAAACCTCAAAACCTCTCTTGACTACCACAAATGCCCGAAATCGAAAGATGGGTGGCAAAGTTTTTCAACCCTCCCTTTCTTTTAGAAATGACAATATGTAACACATGGATCAATACGTTCCGAGACTAACCCAGAGATGGCGCTCGTAGTAAACCAGTAACCAGGTCTTTCTAGAGTACTAACCTTTACTTGAAACGTGTCAAAATTTTAAGTCGATCAATGCCCGAACAAACAAATGCCCGAAGTCGAAAGATGGGTGGCAAAGTTTTTTGACCCTCCCTTTCTTTTAGAAATGACAATATGTAACACATGGATCAATAAGTTCCGAGACTAACCCAGAGTTGGCGCTCGTAGTAAACCAGTAACCAGGTCTTTCTAGAGTACTAACCTTTGCTTGAAACGTGTCAAAATTTTAAGTCGATCGGACTAGAAACAGCTGAGTTATCGAGGTTGGAGTAAAGTCGTTTTGTAGTTTGTTTAAAAAATGGAAAAAACAGAGTTTCGTGTTCTGATAAAACATTGTTTTTTAATGGGTAAAAACACCGTGCAAGCGAAACAATGGATTGACAAATGTTACCCGGACTCTTGTCCATCAAAAGCAACGATTTGTCGGTGGTTTGCCTAGTTTAAACGTCACCGTGCCGACACAAATGACGCAGAACGCTCGGGTAGACCTGTGGAAGCCGTTACACCGGAAAATGTGAGTGAAGTGACAAAAATTATAATGAAAGATCGTAAAGTGAAGCTCCATGAGATTGCTGAGATGACACAGATATCATATGGAAGTGTATTTACTATCCTTCATGAAAAATTGAGCATGAAAAAGGTTTTTTCCAAGTGGGTGCCGCGATTGCTTTCGATGGAACAAAAACAGCAACGAGTCGATGATTCAGAAAGCTATTTATCGCTATTTACACACACGCACACTATTTGCACATGCAGAGAAAAAAA